AGTATTGCACTGCGTCTATGTATTGTTAGTGTTAATAAATTATATTGTTTATAACATATCTGAAGCCTGCGTTTCCCTGCGTCAGTTCACATACCTCTGGTCACACCCTGGAGCCCTGACAATGGCAGTGGTACACGATCTGTACCACCAACTACACTACATACCTAAAAAAGAACCAACCTAGCATTATATAGCCCTAAAATTTAGTTTTTAAGGTTGTCAGCATTCCCTTCCTGTCAGCATAGATTTCCTACCCATAAGTAAAACTGCAGGTATGGACCACTAGCCAATATTGGGGTGAGACTTACTAAAGCTGGAGCATTCAGAATCTGATCCCGCTGTGCATTCTAGCCAATCAGCTTCTAAAGTCAGCTTGTTCAGTTAGACTTTGGCAATAAAACCTGGAAGCTGATTGGTTTCTCTGCAGAGCTGCACCAGATTCTGCACTCTCCAGTTTTAGTAAATCAACTCCATTGCGTTCCACTGCTGCTAAGTACTTTCTGTAGTTTATTTAGGTTTAAAACAAGACTATACTCCGGTATTTATAATAGTCCACAATTTACTGCACAAATCTTTTATTTACTGCCCTCCAAGCTGCACAGCTGTTTTTCAGTTGAAGAGTAATATAATGTACATGAACCTCTATGCCATCTCTGGAAAATGTACACATCTTTACCTAAATTTACTCTATGCTTCCATTGTATTGTCACTGGGGACACTGGATACATAGAATATATATTAGAAAAGAGATATCAGATGAATGGTATGAGACAACAAACAGAGCTTAAATAAATATTTTACTTTGTGTGTTCAATATTTATTATTGGAACAAAACTTTCCACTTGCAAGCTGTTAGACATCATAAGGTATAGCTGTTTAAACTATATATTTCAATTTTCCAAAACATCAATACAGTGAAAATAAAATCTACTGTAGTGTTATCTGTTTAACAAAAAAAAAAAAACAATACAAATAAATCAGAATGAAGGTTTAAGTCTTATGAAACACAGTTTACCACCAGACATCCACAAGATAACATAGTTTTCACAAGCTCTCATCCTAAGGAAGTCTGTCCTATTTTCCTCTACATTCAGTCTGAATTTTGCCTCCTTACTCAAATAACTGAGTTTTAATGTGTCTTGGCTTTTATCACAGCTGTAGCTCGCAATGGTTGAGGTAGTGTTAGCTATTATTTAGCCTTTCATTCACTGGCTGGAACCCACATATCTCATGGTTCACCTTTATTGATCTAAATCTGCTCCTTTTTCGAACAACGTTACACTCTAAAGAAACAAAAAAAAAAATTAATAAACAAAATAAATACATAGAAAGTAAAAAAAATTTAAAAAAAAATAAATAAAAGAAAACTTCCATATACACAAACCTATGCCTACAATGTGTATAACTGACCTAGAGAAAAAAAAGCTAGTGAGGCAGGGCTCAAAATTTTAAGTCCTGAGCTCATAGCCAGACCTTAAGAGTTACTCGCCTCCAGTTGCCCCACCCAACCCTTATCCTACTCCACCCCTAATTCCGCTCCTAAATACACCCTCATAGATTATCTCATGAAATGACACTGTTAAGTGACTTATGCAGAATAAAGGTACAAAAATAAACATTAACAAGGAAGGAAGGAAGGAGGGAGGGAGAGGAGGAAGGAGGAAAGGAAAGGAAAGGAAAGAAAAGGAAAGGAAAGAGGGAAGGAAGGGAAGGAAGGAATGGAGGGAAGGAAGGAAAGAAGGAAGTTATTAAGGAAGGGAAAGAATGGAAAGAAGGGATGGAGGGAGGAATGAAGGAGGAAGGAAGGAAGGAAGGAAGGAAGGAAGGAAGGAAGGAAGGAAGGAAGGTTGGACCCACATGGCTCTGTTATCACAGGGCTGACAGCTGCTCTCTGTATATGTCCTGTCCACACATCCTCTTCTGAGAAGCTGCATGGACTGGAGTGTGTGTGGACTTCAATAAGGCATGGTCCAATTTGCTCCAGTAGTGGAACACAATCCTTCCTGTCTCCCAGAAGGCATTTAGATATTCCCAGAATTAACCATCTCTGGTGTTGTTGCTTATAAATGTTTCAGTTTGGAAATGTTTTTTTTATATTTTGTTCATTTGAAAGTGCATCCAGCTCTTTTTTTTTTAAACAATCTACTGAGCTGTCCAGAACTTTTTCTTGAGGGAAACCATTCCACATTTTCACACAGTGAATAAGCCTTTCTGTAAGTGGACGTTAAATCTTTTTTCCTCCAGACATAAAGAGTGTCCCCTTGACCTTTGTAATGACTTGAAAGTGTAAAATTGTACACCAAGTTTACTATATGAATTGCTTATACAGTATAAGGTGATAAGATCCCTCCTCAATCATCTAATTTCAAGAGGGAATAAATTCAGTTCTAATCTAATCTAATCTTTTCTCATAGCTGAGCTCCTCAATGCCTCTTATCAGATTGATTGCCCTTCTCTGCATTGATTGCCCTTCTCAGTTCCCCAATATGCTTTTTGTGAACTGGTGCCCAAAACTGAACTACATTTTCCAGAAGAGGTCTTACTAATGATTTATACAGGAGCAAAATAATGTCTTTCTCTTTGGAGTCTATACCTCTTTTATAACAAAAAAAAACATTTTGCCGGCTTTTCAAACTTGAAAGTTGGATACATCTTATAAGGATGGTATTCCTCTGCATAGTTTGGTGTTATCTGATAATATTGAAATTGTACTTTTAATACCAAACTCTATATAATTTATTCAAAGTAAATATGTTTAAGAGTAAGGGTTCCAACACTGAACCTTGGAGTACACCACTAATAACCTTAGACTAATCAGAGTATGAATCATTAACCACTACTCTCTGAATACAGTCTTTTAGCCAGTTTTCTATCCATTTACAAACTAATTTTCTAAGCCTGTAGACTTTATTAACACATTAGCCATGTGTGAGGAACTGTGTCGGCTGCTTTTACTAAGTCTAAGTATAATATATTTGTAGCCACTCCTTTGTCTAGGTTTTTGCTTATTTCTTCTTAAAAGAGCAGATTCATTTGACAACTTCAGCTTTTCATGAATCCATGCTGACTATTGCCTAAAATATTGTTTTCTAGAAAAAACTCTTTTATGTGGTCTTTTATCAAACTCTCAAGTATATTCCCAACTATAGAAGTTAAAGCCTAAGTATACTCAAAATTGAAAAAACATAAAAATTAGCACAAGGGACATGACTCACTATTGATGTACTGTTTCACATGTTGCTGCTGGCTCCTGGTTTTCTTGAAATCTTCCTCCATTTATGCTACTATCCCCATCCCCATGGTCCAACCGAGGGAGCTGTTATTTGCACTCATCAAGAGTGTCGACCAGGGGCGGACTGACCATTTGGAAACTCGGGCACTGCCTGAGGGCCTGGGGTCAGTAGGGGGCCCCATGAGATGTCCCTGGTACCTTTTTCATAGGCTTTTTTGAGTTTGGCCAAGGACACAGGGGCCCCATGATACCCTATTGCCGGGGGCCCCATGAGTTGTCAGTCCGCCCCTGGTGTCGACTATAACTGTCCTTTCTGTCCAACGCTTCCATTCATAGAAGCAGATAGTACAGCTTCAATAAATGAAACACAATCTATGAATGGAGGGATCAGACTCTTCAATCATCAGCTTCTAGAGTTAATTAGTTTTTGTACTTCCAAAAGCTCAGTACACAGAAAATGCCAATGCATGCACAGCTTTCCAAACTGTAGTAAGGTTTTGCTTCTAATGAGTGAGATCAGACACATGAGGTTAATATAAGGATTGTATTCTGATCCTCAGTAGCCTCTAAACAGATCTCAGAGTCTACAGAACATAATCTGCTCACACAAAGTGCAGACATGACCATATGCTTACTGTTTTCTTACTGCTCTGCTTTCATTTGAAAGTCAACAGTGCTTAACCTCACTCACTAAGTTCTGGGAGAAATCCTCTTGCACAGCTGCCTTTAGTAAATCAACCACATTGTTTTTACATTGCAAAAAGTACAAAGTGCTAATTTCATTACAAAGTGAACAGTCTATTTGCCTTTAGTAACTCAACCCCAAAGACTATCTAAGCCTTGTTCCTGTAATGACTAACTTTATGAGGGAATATAAAAGAAAACAGAGAGTCTAGGTAGAGATATCTGCTACACCAAAATGCACCTTACTAATTAGCACTGAACAGGAGGGGAGAAAGAAAGAGCTGTACCAAATCACATATAAGCAAATTGTAGTGGTAAATGACCAGTAGATGTCAGCATAAAAAAATAATAGCCAGACACAGTTAAATGAAATAACAGAAAATACATCATAAGTGGGACAGAACACTCAGAATTATAAATGTGAAATTAATGATTGACTTTAACATATATGTGAACCCTTACCTTGTAAAACAACCTATTTAATGTAAAATAGAAATGCAAGGAAAAACATTTTTGTGTGTGTGTGTGTGTGTGTATGTATATATACAGTTGTGTTCAAAATAATAGCAGTGTGTTGAAAAAAGTGATAAAAAGTTCAAAATCCTTCTAATAGCTTTTATTTCCATACACACAAATGCATTGGGAACACTACACATTCTATTCCAAATCAAAACATGAAGAAAAATATATCAAACTTGTGTTGTTCCTCTAAAAAAATTGAAGAAAAGTGAATATTAGACCAGCATGTACAACATTGCTGCCTTCCTTCCTTAAATAAGGGCAATAATTGGCACCTGTTTTTCAAAGAATGAATGACCTCACTAATAGAACTCCACACTGCTATTATTTTGAACATGCCCCTTTCAATTAATGATTCAATGACACAGAATCAGCAGCATGCATGTCATGACTGTTGGGTCTGTTGGATTTCTATTACTCTACTACACCTGCTAGTAAATTATTTGCCATGTAAAAATATCATTTCTACCAAAAACAGTGATTGATCTGGTTAGTGATGTCTGACTGCTATTATTTTGAACACAACTGTATATATATATATATATACACACACACATATATATACATATATACACTATATTGTCAAACGTATTGGGACACCCCTCCAAATCATTGGTTTCTGGTGTTCAAATCACCTTCATGGCCACGGGTGTATAAAATAAAGCACCTAGGCATGTATACACACATTTGTGAAAGAATGAGTCGCTCTCAAGAGCTCAGTGGATTCAAGCGTGGTACCGTGATAGGTTGTCACCTGTGCAATAAATCCATCCGTGAAATTTCCGTGCTACTAAATATTCCACCATCAACTGTTAGTGGTATTATAACAAAGTGGAAGCAACTGGAAACAACAGCAACTCAGCCACAAAGTGGTAGGCTAGGCAAAATGACAGAGTATTGTGGGCGCATGCTGAAGCCCACAGTGAGCAGAAGTCATCATCTGTCTGCAAAGTCAATGGCTAAAGACCTCCATTCTTCGTGTGGCCTTCAGATTAGCACAACAACAGTGCTTAGAGAGTGTCATGGAATGGGTTTCCATGGCCGAGCAGCTGCATCCAAGCCTTACATTATCAAGTGCAACGCAAAGTGTCAGATGCAGTGGTGTAAAGCCCACCACCACTGGACTGTGCCACTTCTCTGTCTGGCAATTGCCAGGAGAATGGTACTTGCCTGACTGCATTGTGCCGAGTGTAAAGTTTGGTGGAGGGGGGACTATGGTGTGGAGTTGTTTCTCAGGGGTTGGGCTTGGCCCCTTAGTTCCAGTGAAGGGAACTCTTAAGGTGTCAAGACATTTTGAACAATTTTAGGCTCCCAACTTTGTGGGAACAGTTTGGGGATGGCCCCTTCCTGTTCCAACATGACTGCACACCAGTGCACAAAGCAAGGCCCTTAACTTGGGCCATTACAGAAATGGAAAGCTATGCTGATAGACTTTTTGCTCCTTACCCTCTCCAATTCCTTTGATTTGGAAAGAGTGACTTACAAGCTGTAGACTACTTCTATTTTCTTGTAGTGATGCCATCTTAACACAGGATACGTACACACTAAGTAGGGTATTTAAGCAGCCATACCAGCTTGACTCCTACTGTCAACGACTGGGGATAACACCCCTTTCTGGGGTCATGCCTCTCCACACTTGTGTCTGCTAGACAGGCAACACATAGCAGGGGGAGAAGATACAAGTGTGGAGTGTCATGAAGGGTGATCCCAGGAGGAGTGTTATCTGCTGACAGTAATACTCGAGCACCCACATGCTGGGGGTATCCTTTCAAACTGCACATGATTTTACAGAACAGTAAAATGTAACCCTTTTAAGTGAGTTAAAAACTATTCCTGCTAATTGACAAATGCCTGATCAGCTTCTGTTTGTAAAAAAATTGGTGAGGATATGAACAAATATGACATCACCCAGAATCCCTGGCCTGGCAGCAGTGTGGTGGGTTAACATCATGGGGTTGTTTTTTTCATAAAGGAAAAGTACACCTTTAAATAAATGTAAAGAATTAAACAATATAATAAATGAATATAATGGCGCCTATGAAAAGGGTATGAATGGATCACTATCTAATGTACCAGCTGCAAAATCCACCATATACTAATAAAGTGTGTAACAAAAAACAAAAATATTAACTTGCGCTAGTAAGTAAATTAATACCCCCAAAAAAACAAATGTGACTGTGAACATAAATAAATAATATATATATATATATATAAATAAATAAAATACATAAGTGTCCAAAGAAAGTCCAAATGGGATGTGTAAAAATCAAGTCCAAAAAAGATGCAAAAAATGTGTGACAATCCACCACCAAAAGTACTAAATGAACTCACCAGAGCTAAAAGAAACTGAAGCATATATTGCTCTGGGGGCGATGATTAGCAGGGTAATGAGCCACTCATGGATAGATCTTCAGGAAATGATATTCTGCAGAAACCGGCTCCAAACAAACCAATGTGAAAGAAGCAATGATCTGTGATCAAATATACCACTAAGGAAATCCACTTCTCCAAGACTTCACCTTATTCATATCCAAAGGGTATTATGCCAGACACTCGGAAAAAACAACAACAACTTCATAGTGCAGTACCTTTAAAACAACCTCATTTATTATGCACTCATCGCATTTAACTCAAAAGGAGTCCCAGCCGACACCAGCGTTAACAGCATGTAAGAAACACAATGAACGAAACCAGCCACTCGGCACGTGCGCAGTTGATTGCTGGGAAACATAATGACGTCACATCAATCATTACAAAACACCTCAAAACGACCTGCGTTTAAAATAAAAAAATAAGAATCTAAGAAGTTAAAGAATGTCCCCAAAAGTTAATCCAATATCAATCACATCATCCAGCGATGTAGATCCTTGTCAATTGCAACATCCCCCGTCCGATGATGTTGATGCACCTACACTCTACCCAATGATATTGACCTGTTGCACTAAAGCCACAAATTTACATATTCCCAGCTGGGGGCTGTATGTAAACAAATCTGCTGAACATACTGGGTGACATAATTGACTAAATATAATCACAAACATCAGCTGGCCGGGGATCTCTCATTTTGCAGCAGAAATGTTATCATTAGGCAGATGTTGCTGGCAATCTGTGTATGAGCTGCCTTTTGCAGAACCTCACTGATTCCTTTTACAAAAGAACACTGTGCACCCAAAACACCACATGCCCTCAGCAGTCCATGGAGAAGATTGCTTGTATGCATTTTAATTACTGCATTTCTATTCCTGCCCACTGCATTTGTTTGACCACGGCAGGGATGGCCTTACAAAGAAAAAACAAAAATCTAATTTAAGACATAAAATTGAAATTGTTAAAAAAATGCTAATTAGTAGTTGATGTAAAAATGTAATAACATAAAACAATGGTGGTGATGATGGGAAAATGTCCAGGTTTGGGCCAGCATTTGTCTCTCAACACTATCAAAGGTCATGCTTCTGTCTATTTCTTCCTGGTTTTAGAGATCATTGGCCTTTCACTTCTTGATTGAGAAGGCCTAATCTGGTTCTATTTGCTCTTCAGAAATTGCCTTCTTTAACATTAGAGATATTGCTTTCTCTACTCTCACCTACATGATGGGATTTCTTCTAGCCATCATATCTGCTGGGCCAGTGTCTGAGCTGGCAACCTCATCTTGCAAGAAAACCATTTTTGATTTTTACTTAGGGACAAGGCTGAGTTTAGGCCTAATGCCATCCCTTCCCCTGGATGTAAGATTTCCCCTTCCATTTTCTGCCACCTGCCCTTCTCCTATGTTGGGCAGTCTTTGGATGTAGATTTCCCCCCTTTTGGCTATATCTTCAGTAAAGGAGATCTGACCACCCTCAGGAATGTGGCAAGGAGGTTGTTGCAGTGTGTCTTCAAAGTGCTGCATTTTGGACTCCCTCTATGGTGGTGACTATGCATCCTTGAATTTTCCCTTGTATTGGGGAGAGGTGAAATGTCCATATTGAAGCCTCCCCAACTGTCCTCCTTATTCCTCACTGCCATTATCCCAACCCTTCTCCTCACTATCAGCACCAAAACACTACTCCTCCTATTTACCATTATTTTCTTTGTTTCCAGCAGCAGTACTGTAGACTGGCCTTGGGGATAGCAGCAAAACAATTCAGCCAACTTCTCATAGTTAGTTGGCAAGGCTATGGCAGGATTAACCGAAGAGGGGTAGTAGGAAATTGCCACATGAGCAGTACAAGAAAGGTAAGTGTCTGATCAGTGTTCTTGAGGGAAAGGAGGAAAATTGTGCATAAGCAGCTCTGTGAAAAATGTGACTGTGTTGCCCCTTGAGGAGGTGGAAGAGAAAAAAGAAAACCTTGGCAAGGGTAGGACAAAACAGGGGGAAATAGAGAAGGAGGAGGAAAAGAGAGCATTATCAGCAAATAAAAAAGTGGCTGCTATGCCCTTTGAGAAGAAGGAGGAAAAGGGTGTTATCAGCACATGCAAGCAAATGGCTGCTCTATGTCTTGGAAGAGTAGCAAGAGAAAAGCTTTGGTAGCTCCTTCACTACCTTCTGAGTGATTGACGACTAGTGGGGTGAAAAAAAAACAGCTCCTTAGAGCCTCTCCAGATTGCCTCTCTGTTATGTGCGACCTCAAAGTAATATTTGAAGAGAAGGCTGGGCAGCCATTGACCACATGATTCAACTGTGATGAAAAAAATACAGTTATTACTCATTCAGATGCTTGTGCACATATACCAGCACACAGACAAGCTCTGCTTAGCTTCCAGCATGCACTGACACGTAGGCGCATCTGTGTGCGCAAGCGTGCACTGGTGTGCACATCCACCAGGATTGGCACCTAGCTGCCCATTTAAAGGAGATGGTATGAGCTAATGGCTGGATGTTCTTCATTTTCCCCATGATCTGTGTTCCTGCTTTTACTGATTGGTCCTCTGTTGCTGACCCAGCTTGCTCCTGACCTTGCTCTGTGAATTTTGGATACTAACCTCAAGCGCACCTCTGACTATTCTCTGCCTGCTTCCCTGATACTGATCTCGGCCAGCTACTGGACCTCGCTCTGCCTGCTTCCCTGGTGCTGACTTCAGCCTACTCCCTGACCACACTGCTGCTTCATGATGAATGACCCTGGCGCACCTTGACTATGTCTCTGACCATGGCAGTCACCTGCTACCAAGCTACTGCTTTTTTGAGCCTTGTACCTCTGTCACCCCATCACCAGGGTTGCTTGGACCAGAGTAGCAAGGGAAGCCCTCTTATCAATTTTGCCTCCAACAAACGTGTGTGACATCATTTTTGTCATTTAGCCATTTTGCTAATTTTCTGTGTCTCTTTTCTTTCTTTAGAAAAAGAAAAATAATATATAGAGACACCCCCCTCGACCCATACCAGACCATTATCCTATATAGTAGTCTGGTATGGGTTTTAAGCAGGGAACTTTAAAGTCCATACCACTGGAATTTGGGAGAGACACCCTCCACTTCCCCAGCACCACACAATATTCCAGGGAAAAACCTAAAAGCCAAAAGGTACCCATCAGCAGTAAATGGGAGGGAGGGGTTATACAGTCGAGGGAAGGGCAGGCAGCAGCAAAATAACTTTGATGTCACATACGTTTGTTGGAGGCAAAGTTCATAAAACATTTAAATAGTAAATAAACATACTACATTTGACAAAGATAAAAAAGACGACCCCATAAAAGTCTGACAATGTAAACTGTCTTGTTTAAATAACTGTATGATCTTGTGTGTGGTACTAAACAAAAGCCCAAACAATGTTTTTGCTTTCATATTTTTCTCTCCTTTATCATTGATAGGAAATCAGAGGATGCAGAGATTGAGATAAGTAATCTTACCCACTGGGGATACAGGCTGCACCAAACAAAAATTCAGTAGAGTGGAGCTATCTGGGTTTCCTGGATGCCCCATCCTTCGCATTTCTTATCAAAGGGAATGTAGTTTTAAAAAAAATTGACCTAGCTGTGCATTCAGTGAAACTACATGTAAATTCATTCTGTTCTGTGCAAGTGAGGCAAAATTGAACATTCACAGGCTATATTGTCTGCAGATCAAATGTTTAAATTTGTAAAAGGGGAAAACAACACACTGTGACCACTAAATGGAGTTGAGGAGCATACTTATTTCTTATGACAGTCAGCACCATCTAGTGGCCATAATGTAGTATTTTCCCCATTCACCCATTCAATCTGTGGAGAAATAGTTTGAG